GAATCTCTGCGTGGAAGGTTAGGAAATCCTCTCTACTGGATTGTTGCTCTCAGTATACCCTTGAAATCTCAGTACACCTCTTTGTAACTCCTTCTTGAAGGCTGAAATCCTACACAGCTGACTGCTGCATGCCTTATATGTTAACAATAAGCAGAACAAAAAACAATGTAGCCTGCAGGGACCGAGAGCCATGTGAGGGTTGGTCTTGAGGCCACCAGCTGTTCTAATGAGATGAGGCTGCCCATCCCAAAATCTGGGTAAAGAAGAAGGTGCCGCATCTCAACTGTTGCCTGACCCCCACACGAAACAAATGAATCAACATTCAGAGCATCAGTAAAAACCAGTAAATCAGTATTCTCACCGCTTAAGCTTTCTAGAATTTTTTTTTTTTGAACCAAGCCAACCTGTATTATATCACTACATGATTTTGATTCTTAGAGGGATACAACTTTAAAAATTAAAGAGTTCTTCACAGTATTTCAGTGCACTCATAATTTTACAATCTCATTTCTACTGGTCATTGAAAATAGTAATTACATTACATGTGAAATAGTTACCTCTTTTGGGCTTATGCTACAGAACAGCAGTAAGGGCTGAAGGGGAGAAATACTAAGAACATGATGGCCCCAAGGGGAGTTTTCTGCCTCTCCCCTCTCACAGTCCTGTTAATCTGTGGCAGCAAACAACCCTCACTAGATTCCTTGCCATCCCCCTTGACATTTTTAAATGATGCTGAAGCTCCATAGGGTTAGGTACTCCCAGTCTATTTTACAAGAACAAAGACCAAACCAGATGGCTCTCACCTGCTGTTCCTCATTGACAGGCACAACTTAAAATATTCCAGTGTAATATACTGGCCATATGTTTTCCTGTATTGTCCATGCAAACAATTTGTCCATGCAATCTTTTGTGCACAGAAATGCCCGATTTATTTTAAACTGTGGAAGTAAATGCTCTGGTCCACTTCCTTCTTGCTCTTTTTGTTTTTTTTTTTTTCTTGCAGATGTTATGTATAACGGAGAAATGAATGAAAAGATAAAGTTACTGTATAAGCTGCATATCCCACCCGGTAAGAAATTTGGAAGGGAGTGACTCCCTCCCTTTGCCTCCAAACTCTTGCTCAAAGCTTTGGGAAATGGCTGCTTAATGAAGAACCCTACCTTGCTTCCTTCAGCTGGGAGCATCTAGGATTTGCATTGTTAGTTATGCTCACCGCATTTTAAAATTGCTCCAGTCAAAACCTTTTGGGGTGAAATTTATAGATACGCCATGTCAAGGCCCACATTTGCTGCGTTCAGAGATCTTTTGCAGCCAATCACATGATTACTTCTAGACAAAATACTGAACTGGAATAACATTTCTGGATGGCTGGTACTCCATGTGCGGGAGAAATCTCCTTATTGCTTCTTGATCCAGTTCTGATTAGGCGACAAAATTCTGTGTTAGTTTCTCTGTGCAAAGTTTTTAATTAAAATGTGCTATTCTTGGCAAACTCCCAGCTCTCTCACTGCAGCACCAGCCTTACTTACATTAACATAATTTTACAGTATGATTTAATGAAGTACTGTTTAAAAACATCTTTGCCCAATTATTTTGCTCTCTTCAAATATGTAAATTTCAAAAGCATAAATAACCATTATGCAGCATTGGAAAGATTAATCGTTAACGTTTTTCACTTTTTTTGGCTAGCTCTCACAGAAAACGAACGAGACAGCCAGTCACCATTAAAGAATCCTTTGCTGTCAACTTCAAGACCACTCGTCATTGGGAAAGCAAACGGTACGTCCGAAATGGTTCTCTAACATGTGCGCGTATGAGATAACCAACTCCCATTATCTCCACTCTCTGGGTTTTATTTTGAAAAGTCAATTTACTCCAGCAACTTGAAAACTAATTCTCTTTTTTGCGTCTGCTCCAAAAAAGGTGATGCAGTAGATTACCAAAAGCAGTTGAAGCAGATGCTGAAGGATCTAGCCAAAGAAAAGGATACCAAAACTGAAAAAGAACTGCCCAAAATGAGCCAGGTATGTATGCTAGGGGCTATAGTCTGTTTTTAAAGAAGTGGAGGGTACCGAGAAATGAAATGACTAAATACAACAGTTCGGCCCTTTCTGAGAAAGTATAACTTAAGCCTGAGCTTAGATTCGGTCCTTTAGGTGTGCAGGATTGGGCTACTCTGATCCAGGGAGCAGGCACCACATTTGAAAACTCTCAGCTGCCTTTCTATCAGCTCCCTTGCATCACACTGCCTGGTGAATAGAAAGAATTTCAGACTTACCCTCACCTGCAGCGTAACAGGCTGGAAAACGGGCTGGAAAAAGCCCTCCTGCCAAGCCTGGGGAATTCCTGAGGATGCATATCGCTGTTCTGTCTTCCCTGAGCCCCCATCTGCCAAACCGGTAACTTCTTTCTTAGTCCATCACCAACTGGGGCTTGCCCCGTCATAGCCAGACGCCGACTAGAACTGCATTAAGGCAGCTGAAGGCTCTCATCATCTTGCCATCTCCTCCCTAACACCAGAAGAGCTTTGTGCGTGCTGTTGGCACGAGGAAATCTACTGGAGGGGAAAGGGTCCCGTATTAGTAAAACAAATGTACGGGCACGCAAAGGGAGGTAGGACTACACCCAGAATCCCTTCTGTGCTGGCGTTGCGAAGTAAAGTTTTAAATTGTTGGCATGTCCCTAACTTTTCAGCTCAGCAGGGCCACATAATCTCTCATAAAGGCATCACTTGATGGAACTCCTGAGGTCCCTTCCACCCTGAATTATCCATCCTATGACTGTACGAAACTCAAGGGCTCACAAATTCCCTAACAGGATACAGGAACGTCCTCTCATAGCCTGGTAACCGCCTGTGACGGGTGAGCAAGGGAAGGAAGGAGAGAAAGGGGTTGGGCAGGGAAGAGGCCTGCATCTTATTATTAGAAGAAAAAGAGCTGGGGAAAGATGGCGAGAATCAGCAGAAGGGCGGCTGCTTGCAAGCCTGTGGATGATGGCTGGTTT